GAGGTCTGACTAATAAATTCCCTCATAGTAAAAAACCACAGTTTGTGTTCGACGATTATGATTATCGACTACGTTCATATAAATCTGGATCTGGTGCAAACAAACCAGGAATAAAAGTAAAAGTTCTCTGTGTACCACACACACCTTCGTACGCATAAATAACAGTACACATTCATACGGCCATTATGTACGTTAAAATGTTTGTTACTTAGTTGTTTTGACAAAAAAAAATCCAAATTCGTTGAAAATGTGAAAATCACGTTCGAATAACAGCAGTTCGAAAAAATATAAAACTGAAAACAAACCAAAAGCCCGACAATCATAGATAGTGAAATTCTGAGGCAAGCAAAAAATTTGAAATCACCTTCACTCACATACACACGAAAGCACGCACCCACCCAGTACATTTTTTTTATTAAATTCAAAGCGTCCAACGACGTGTCACCATCTAAATAGATAACCAAAGCGAAATGATAAATTAAAAAAAAAAAAACAAGAAATTAAAGAAGATATATTTTTTGGTGTGAAAGAATAAGATAATAACGAATGGTCATTAATGCGTTTTAACAGCATTTTTACCGAAACTATCATAATTTGGAACACAGTGTCATAAAAAGAAAATAGATGAAGATATGACAAAATAGAACGTGGGTTGTAATTTATGGGGATCGTAATTGGAAATGATTGCTGGATTGGCTTGCGAATATTTTTCCAACTAATATCACAAGACTTTTTAGAAAATATGAAAAAAACATCATGCTGGATTTTGTGGAAGGAAAACTTTCAGGATCATGGTTGGTCTAAAAGAAAATTAAATCCACAATAAGGTCCTTAAAAATATTAAAAAAAACTGCGATTATTGCTGGTCCTTAAAAAATATTATTTAACAATCACGATAAATAATTATACCCTCAACCATATGGCTACAGAGGGTATATACAGGGTGGAATAAAAAAACTGCAACAAAGTCAAAAAACGCCGTATAGGGTAAGTGTGCCTAAGTTCGGCATTTCCCAGTAGTCGGCACTTTTATGTTTAAGCCCATATAAATGAAACTATTATAACTAAATGTATTTTGTATACTTCAAATATATTGTCAGCTATCTTTGTGTACAATTTCGCTAAGAAAAGATGATTTATTCTAATAAAAATTAAATTTTTGTCTGTGAAGGTCCTCAACAATCCATATTCTTAAGAAAAGTACAATAAAGACGTCGAATCAGTTTAACTAAACAATAATATTATATTTTAATGAATTAATTTATTATTATTATTAATTATTCTTACAAAAAAATTGGTATGCCCACTGTTGGAGCATGCCATACCGACAATTCGCAAGTGGTGCCGACTACTGGCACAAAAGCATTGTTTTAATAAAACTACAAATTTATGAAATTTAATAAAAACTTATTAAAACTTTATTTATTATTGCAAAAACTATACAAAATTTCGAATCTGAATAAATTATCTTTGTAATAATTGGAACGTTTTACTCAGAATGGTGAGCGATTAAAAACGCGAAAATCCTAAAAGTGCCGACTACTGGTACACTTACCCTATATTTTTTTAATTTTATTAAATCAAAGCGGAAATGTCGGAAATAGCATCAAATTTTAGAATAAATTTAGATTTGTTTGAGTTCGTCACATTTGGCACGAGTTATGGCCTTCAAACGGCCAATTAAACCGTCACACGCTGCCCGAATGTTGCTCTGCGGTATTTTGCCCCATTCCCGGCGAAGCGCTTGCTTGAGGTGATCGACACTTTGGTATTTTTTAGTGCCAACCTTGCTTTTTTAAAATACTCCAGACACAATAGTCCAACGGATTGGTATCCGCAGATTTTGGTGGCCATTGTGGCATATGAAGCGAGGAACCTCATTTTGTAACCATTCTTGGGTGGCGCGTGCTGAGTACGATGGTGATGAGTCCTGTTGGAATGTCCAAGGTCTGCGGCCAAAATGTTAGCGTGCCCAAGACTTTAATACACCCTCCAGAATATTTTCGCGATAGTATTCGACATTTATTTTGATGCCACGGTCGATTAATACGAGCGGAGAGCGTCCATCGGTTGTTATGACGGCCCACGCCATCACCATGGCCGGTGCTTGAGTTCTGTTGGCCAACCGAAGGTGCACATTTTCAGCTGACCTCTTTGTTTACAAACTGTTGGACAACGAATGTTTTCTCATCGGAGAAAACCAAATTCGGCAGTTCAACACTTTCGGCCAAGCGAAGAAACTCTTTAGCTCTTTTGAGTCTATTTTCTTTCTGTTGCGGTGTAAGTTCTGGCACTTTTTGGAATTTCAATGGCTTTACCCGAGCTCATTTTTCAATATTTGTCGAATGGAATATTGTGATATGTGCAGCTCACGAGCCATTTTTCGGCCACTGCGACGCGGGTTTCCATCAAGGTGCTTCTTTACTTTTCGAACTTTTTCCATGTTAATTTATAATCACGCTACAGGTCGCAATTATGGCCCGATCCTCATGAAATTTTGCATGGAGTGGTATGGTCATAATAAAAGCCTATTGTTTTCAAAGATGTCCGCAACATATTTAGGTGTTGAAATGGACAAAAAAAAAAAAAAAATGAAAAAAAAATCCTGTTTTTGCAGTCATTATAAAAGTCTCAAATAGAAACCAAAGGACACGAAATCTCGCATGAAGTTGGAGTTTAGGACAGCGGGTAGAATGGACCAGTACTATTCTACCGAAATGCTAAACATAAATTACAGGCGATATACAAAATGCAAAAAAGGCGAACTTCTGGCTTTTTATGCTGATTTCGTTGACGAATATAGCCAAGTATCGTAGACAAGATAAAGCATATAGATGCGTATAAATATAGAGATACAGAGGGTCCTCCTGCATTTGAAGATGATCGCAAAATATTTAGGGATTCAAATGAACCAAAAAAAGAAAAAAAAATCCTGATTACACAATTGAAGCCAATCGACACTCCTGAGAAGAGAGTTAAGGAGAGGGAAGAATTCCAGAATTTAGGATGACCATTGGATTATATTTAACTGCGAAATGGACCACAACAACTAATAGCACGACGGAGTGCGTAAATATTGGGCAAATGTCCCTGGCCAAAATCCTGAGGGTAATATCTGGGCAGTGCTCTGTGACATAATTTCAAAAGCGAAATCTTCCAAAATGGATGTGGACATAAGGGGACTTCTAACATATTGTAGTGTTGTAGGGTATCACATGGTCGCCTCCCCCCGCACGACTATAGCCTTTGCTTACTTGTTTAAAGTGTTCAAATATTTTGCTAATGTGTTTTTTTATACCCTACACCACAAGGTGGTCATTTTATACCCTACACCACAAGGTGGTCAGGGTATTTATCTTTGTGCATTTGTTTGTAACAGGCAAAGGGAAACGAGGTAGACCCATAGTTCCTTTTGATGATCTGCATAGAATCACTTTCTGAGTTGATTTATGCATGTCAGTCCGTCCGTCCGTCCGTCTGTCCATGTATTCTTGCGAACAAATTGCAGGTCGCATTTATTATCCGATTGAGATGAAATTATGCAAACAACATTTGTTTGGCCCAAGGACGAACCCTATTGAAATTGGAGATAATCGGTAAAAATTTAGATATAGCTCCCATATATATCTTCGTCCGATTTGCCTTTTATTGTGCACCAAACGTGTAATATCAGCCCGAATAGTATGGAATTTTGCACATACAACCAAATTAGGCCTGAAAATAAGTATGCCAAATTTTATCGAAATCGGTTCAGAAATAGCTATAGCTCCCATATATATTGTTCATCCGATTTGTTATTTTTGTCCTCCGCAGCCGTAATATGCACTCTGTAACAACAATATTTGGGGAAATGCAGCTCAGATATACCTTTGCTAAATTTTATCGAGATCGGTTCAGATTTGGATATAGCTCCCATATATAACTTCGTCCGATTTACCATTTATTGTGCACCAAACGTCTAATATTTGTCCAAATGGAATGGAATTTGGCACACACGACCGAATTTAGTCTAAAAGGTAGTAGGCCAAATTTGGTGAAGATCGGTTCAGATATAGTTATAGATACAAATGCTTCGGCATATTTAGTCCTTTGAATTTTAAATTATAATTATAATCATAGCGTGTATGATTGAATTCTCCCATAAATACTTTTAATTATTAAGTGGAGCTCAACTAAATTAGCAAAGTGGTGTAGGGTATCATAAAATCGACCCCGCCCGACTTTAGGACTTTCTTTATTGGTTGAACCCGGATCTTGTAAATAACCACAAGATTCCATTTTCAATTTATTGCTAAGCTTATGCCGGTCAATAAACTTTATAAATTAAAAACTAAAATAAATAATAATAAAATTACACATAACATATATTTGAAAGTCCCCCTCATAGCCCACTTAATGGAGCGGGGGAAAACTTAAAAAAAAAACATTGAAATGATGTGAATGAAAAAAGAAAAATAAAAATAATAATAAAAAAATTGTTTTGATGAGCAAATGTTTGTTGGTGTTGTTGTTTGTTGTAGCATTACTAGCGGATGATGGTGCATCTACGCTTACCTGTTCATGTCGGACAATAATGGGCTCTGCGATGGAAAAACTTAACAACAATGGAGTGGAATGGAAAACGGAAGCTTGATCCGTGAAGTCGCTGGCGCTCGTCTCTCTATTGAACTAAGGCCATGGCAATACGCACAGGCAATAGCAAAAGAGGGAGGGGGCGAGCGGGGGTTGATGTCGAGAAAATCCGGCACAAGTTTTCTATAGTGTGTTGTTAGCTTTCATTCACTGTAAAGTGGCGGTTCCCCTTGTTACCTAAGTAGCTTAAGGTGCCAATTGTTTTAGCCATAAATGTTACTGATGTATGTAGTTATGTATATGGCCATGCAGCGGGCAATTGAACAAATGTTGTTGTTATTTATTTTTTTTTTGTTGTATTATGGTTGAGCTGTTTTGTTTTCTTTTTTCTTATTGTGTTGTTGTTTTATTTTATTTTCTTTTATTTATTTATTTATTTTTTTTTTTTTTTTGTATTTTATTACTTTGTTTCTCCGCTTGCGTTGGCGCTTTTTAGCCAAGTTAATTACTATAGTTGTATGGTTAATGTACTCGTTTGTTTACTACTGCTTCATCGGCGTTTTGGCGGCTACACATCTCCTACACATCGTTGTAATCTTTGGCACAAAAACTCTTGTTTCATTTGTTGTGTGTTTTTGGGATTTTTTCATGTTTTCTTAAGCTTTTCTTCTTTACATACAAATTATCTTGTCATTCATTGCTGTTTTTCCTTTTGTTTTCTATGGAGAAAATTTTTTCATGGTAATGTGGAAAATTTTCAAATTTTCTTAAGTGTGACGCCGTGAGAGAGTGCGAGAGAGAGGTAGGGAGGGGGTGTTGTGACTTATTTCTTCTTTTTTTTCGAAACAAAAAAAGAAACTTTAAAAACAACAACAAATTTTACTTTCATTTCGTAAGAATAGCAAAACATAATAACGAATAATAAAACCAAAACATTAAATAATAAAAGATTATATTCAACTTCACTTCTGAAAACCGAGGTGCATATGCTCCATGCATGAGTGCCTTAAATAAGTTGTCGGGTAGATCGAGTTTGCACAGTGGCTTATAGGGAAAATTCGGCATTCTCAATGGTATGAGATTCAAATCTGACTTAAGATATACAGGGTGAGATAAAAAAAACTGCAACCAACTTCAGACTGCTGTCATTTCTAAGCCACTCGGCCGACAGCTGTTAAAATTATTCCAGTTACAGCTCATTGTATTGTTTGCAAACGTACAAAAGCATTTTGGTGAGAATTTTCCAGAAGAAAAGTTATTCGTGATGGAATTTAAGCGTGGCAGTGTGATTTCTTTATATTTGGCTGGCTATCGTTAGAGCACTCCAGCGTTTAAATGTGAATAAATTTTTTGTGTCTCGTACCATCGCTCGTTACCGTGGTACTGGTAGCGTATCCCGACGTCAAGGAAGTGGACGGAAGAAAACAGCAACATCAGCAGAAATGGTTCGAAAAGTAAAGAAGCGACTTGATCGAAATCAACGCCCCAGTGGCCGAAAAATGGCTCGTGAGCTGAACATATCCCAATATTCCATTCGCCAAATATTGAAAAATGAGATCTGGGTAAAGCCATTGAAATTCCAAAAAGTGCAAGAACTTATACCGCAACAGAAAGAAAAAAGACTCAAAAGACCTAAAGAGTTCCTTCGCTTGGGCGAAAGTGGTAAACTGCCGAATTTGGTTTTCTCCGATGAGAAAACATTCGTTGTCCAGCAATTTGTAAGCAAACAAAATGATCGTGTTTTCTTGCCAAGAGGTCAGCTGAAAATGTGCACCTTCGGTTGGCCACCAGAACTCAAGCGCCGGCCATGGTGATGGTGTGGCCGCCATAACAGCCGATGATCGCTCTCTGCTCGTATTAATCGAACGTGGCATCAGAATAAATGCCGAATATTATCGCGAAAATATTCTGGAGGGTGTATTAAAGCCTAGGGCACGCAAACATTTTGGCCGCAGACATTTGGCCTTGGACATTGCAACAGGACTCAGCACCATCGCACTCAGCACGCGCCACCCAAGAATGGTTACAAAATGATGTTCCTCGCTTCATTTCCAGCTCACAATGACCACCAAAATCTCCGGATACCAATCCGTTGGACTATTGTATCTGAAGTATTTTGGAAAGCAAGGTTGGCACTAAAAAATACCAAAGTTTCGATCACCTCAAGCAAGCGCTTCGCCGGGAATGGGCCAAAATACCGCAGAGCAACATTCGGGCAGCGAGTGACGGTTTCATTGGCCGTTTGAAGGACATAATTCGTGCCAAAGATGACCAATTCGAGCAAATCTAAACATATTCTAAAATTTGATGCTTTTTCCGACATTTTTTGCCTTCATCCGAATTAAAAAAAAAAAAATGTAAAAATTATGGGGTTTGACTTTGTTGCAGTTCTTTTATCTCACCCTGAAGCAAGCAAAATTGGGCGCTTTATCAAGAAACAAGTGGAAAAGCAGTAAGTTCGGCCGGGCCGAACTTTGAATACCCACCACCATTTGGAACGAATCTGGAAATTTTCAAAAAAAAGATCCTTAAAAAATTCTGTTAAAATTTTATAAATACAAAATATAGCCGTCATATTGTGGTCTATCGACGTAGGCATTGTTTGTCATAAGCCATTACCATATTCAAATTCGAAACTTAAAATAAACAGTGAATAATGTAGTCAAGATCATCAAAATACCGTATATAGGGATGTAAAGTTATATCGGGGCTATTCCTGGAGCTGCATAGATAACTTTCTGTCACATGCTGTAGCTTCTATTACTAACTTCAAATACGACTTCTCAAACAATTTCTTGTATCTTAAATCGTTAAAATACCGAATATTGGGAGATACCGTTATATGGGGGCTATACGAAGACGAGGACCTGCATAGAAAATTTTCTGCCTTAGGCTGTAGTATTCAATATGAGCTTCAAATACCACATCTCAAACTTTTTCGCTGGGTATTGTACCTACAATCGTCAAAATACCGAATATAGGGAGGTACAGATATATGGGGCCTATACGAAGACCTAGACCTGTATAGACAATTTCTGTCACAGACTGTATGGGTACTTCACTCTAAATCCATAATTTGAAACAATTCTGGTGAATAATGACGCTAAAATCGTCAAAATACCGAATATAGGGAGGTACCGTTATATGGGGGCTATACGAAGACGTGGACCTTCACAGAGAATTTTCTGTCTCAGCGTGTAGAATACATTTCGAACTTCGAATACCAAATTTGAAACAATTTCGGTGAATAATGTCGCTAAAAACAATCATGGGAGGGTATAAAAATTGCAGGACCATCTAGTCTTAAACAAAACTGGGAGTTTTCCTTTCGACTTAAATCCGATACTTTGGGTTAGTAACAAGTAGAAAAGTACCTTCTCAAAAAAGTCTGTATTTACAGGGATCGACATATGGATCCTATAACGTTATCCCTAAATTTTTGAAATTTAGAGTTTTTCACATGCTGGAGAACATCAAAATGTTATTTTGTTTATCAGCTTGCTATTTTTTTATTATAATTTTGTTTATTTACATATGTATGTATGTTTAGCTCATATCTGCAAATTCACAATGTATTGTCCCATCCCAGAAATCATTTCTACAAATCATCAATGCCGAAAACAAAAATATCAAAATAAATCATAAAACCAAATGAAAGCAATTTAATCAAGACAATACAAAATGACAAACCATTGACGCGGCTGTCGTCTATTCAATTTTTCAATAAATCAAAGAACAATATCGACTCTGAGGAAACTACATAACAACCGAGAAAAAAATGAAAGTGAAACGATATTGATTTGAATGGAATGGACAAAAATAAAAACATTCGTCACGCTCTCATCAAAAAATTTTAGAAACTATAGTTTTTTTTTTAATTTTTGAGACGAAATTTTTTATTTTGTATTTGTATGAGTATTTTTATATATATATATATATATATATATATATATATATATATATATATATATATATATATATATATATATATATATATATATATATATATATATATATATATATATATATATATATATATATATATATATATAAATATATATAAAATAAATGTCCAAAACACGTCTAAACAAGTTAGCAACTTTCAGTGGGTGTTTCGATAGATACATACCCTTATTTGGACACACCTTATGAGTATACTTTTTCGGTAAGATATCAGAAGAATAATGGGAATCAAGAATCTATACCTTGATCGCCAATAAGTAAGTTTGATATGAATATTACCACGGACTAAGTTTCGACATATTCGGGCATTACGTTATAAAATATATATATGTATTGAGATATATGCCTGATGTTATTTTTTTCGAACTTTTGTGTAGAATGTGCCCAGAAGAGGGGACCGATATATTCCAATTTCACACTAGCTCCAAAATATATGCAAAGATATTGGGATGTGAAAAATTTCAAGAAAGTCAGACATTGTTTTCCAACTTATTGGAGCTATATTATCATTAACAAGTAAAAACCAGTAAAGAAAGTCTTAAAGTAGGGCGGGGCCGACTTTATGATACCCTACACCACTTTGCTAATTTAGAAGAGCTCCGCATAACAATTAAAAGTTTTTATGGGAGTATTCAATCATACATGCTATGATTATAACTATAATTTAAAGTTCATAGGACTAAATATGCCGAGGCATTTGTATCTTTTAAATTCGGAAATGTATTGTCCATTTGGTGCACAATTAATTTGAAATCGGAAAAAGATATATATAGGAGCTATATCCAAATCTGAACCGATCTCGATAAAATTTGGCAAAGATATTTCTGAGCTGTATTTGATATATTTCCCTGACGGGAAATATATGTTACGGAGTGCATATTACGGTTGTGGGTAACAAATATAACAAATCGGATGTATAATATATATGGAAGCTATAGCTATATCTGAACCGATCTTCACCAAATTTGACATACTAGCTTCTACACTCAATTCGGTCGTAAGTGCCAAATTCCGTATCATTTAGACAAATATTAGACGTTTGGTGCACAATCCAAGGTAAATCGGACGAAGTTATATATGGAGCTATATCCAAATCTGAACCGATCTCGATAAAATTTAGCAAATGTTTTTCTGAGATGTATTTGATGAATTTCCCCAAATATTGTTGTTGCAGAGTGCATATTATGGCTGCGGAGGGCAAAAATAACAAATCGGATGAACAATATATATGGGAGCTATGGCTATACCTGAACCGATTTCGATCGAATTTGGCATACTTATTTTCAGGCCTAATTTGGGTGTATATGCAAAATTCCATACAATTCAGGCTGATATTACACGTTTGGTGCATAATAAGAGGCAAATCGGACGAAGATATATATGGGAGCTATATCTAAATTTTGACCGATTATCTCCAATTTCAATAGGGTTCGTCCTTGGACCAAACAAATGATATGTGCAAAATTTCATCTGGATCGGGCAATAAATGCGACCTGTACTTTGTTTACAAAAATACATGGACAGACGGACGAACGGACGGACATGCATAAATCGACTCAGAATGTGATTCTATGCAGATCATCAAAAGGAACTATGGGTCTATCTCGTTTCCTTTTGCCTGTTACAAACAAATGCACAAAGACATAATATCCTGACCACCTTGTGGTGTAGGGTATAAACATTAAGTTCGATCTTATAATACCCTCCACCTTAGAGTAGAGGAAACATTAGAACCCATTATGGCCCACAAATACCA